ATAGATATCGGCTTGTGTAGTTATAACCGATATGTCATATCCGACATGTAGTAACCGACATGTCATAATCGACATGAGATATCGGTTATGACGGAGATGTCGGTTCTTGACAAATTTTTACTCGATATGTGATTGTCTTGAGGCCCGTGGAGACATCATCTACTTGTACGAATTTAATCATCCTCTAACTAAACATAATCATCTGATCAGCGTCGCTTAACTGAGTTTACTGAAAATGATGTCAACAATATACCCACAACATATTCCCACAACATGTACATAATATAACTATATATCAACAAATCAAGCACACCGTGTTCGACAATTATCATCTGAGAAGTTTTTCGTTAGATCAGATAGAAAAAAAGTATATATTAAACATATATTGTACATATACTGCAAATATACTGAGCATATACTACATATGTTCACGTGGGTTAAAGAAAAAAAAAAAGACAAAAGAAAGGGTAAACAGGTTTAAAAAGGGTCGCATCATCTTCTTCAGATTCACTTTCACCTTGGGGATCGGGGCAGGCAAGCTCTCATTTTCAGTCGATTTGAGATTTTTTTATTTACGGTGTCTCCGAATAATTTTTGAAGATGTATCGCCTGGTCGGACAAGAATCGTCGGAATTATGGGGTGAATTGACCGTTTGACGATGAGACTTACCGGTGGATTTTCGAACGCAAGATGTATTTATTTTTTTCTCGATCTCCGAGCTTCTTCATTTGCAAATCGGGGCAGATGGTTTCTCAATCTCCGGGCTTCTTCATCTGCAAATCTCCCGTAGTGATGTAAATAAATCTCAAACATCAAGCCATCAACTCTGTGGGTGTGGCGGCGGTTTTGTGTGAGAAGAGAAAGGAAGACCGTGTGTGAAGAAGAGAGAGAAATGGAGGGAGAGGAGAGATATGTAGTTGATTGGAAATTACCATGTAAGTAGGAAATTAGCTTTTAGGCATATATGCAAATAAATATAACAAATTTAGCTAAGTTGTAAATAATTGTACAGAAGATGTAATTATGTAATATTTTTAAATTGTTTAAGTGGAGGGTGCAAATTCCTCAAAATTCAATCCGCTGGTCAAAGCAACAATCAGCTATCAGCTAACCGCTAATTACCAACACCATTAGCTAATTTATATATTACCACCTAACATTTCAACTATATCTATCAAGATAACCTAAAATCTAAAAACAGATCCAAAACATTTCTGCTAATTCAAAACATACTCTTAAAAGTATACATACCACAACTAGTATTCCACAATTCCATTGCCCACAACCCAATAACCGAGCAGGCGAGCACAACATTCGAATATGAATACTGTGTTCCTTTTCTTATTTGATAGATAAATCCATATCCTATTTTTCATGCAACATAATATCAATTGAAATTGGATATTTTCAACTTTCATCACACGGCCCAGAGAAGCCTGCTTTTGTACTTGGGCCAAAAAACGCAGTCCTAAAGATTAAAGAACTAACTGCTTCTCATCATTCCAAAGCATAACAAAATTTCACCTTCACCCTTTCAAAACATTACACACACACACACACACACAATCCCTCTGTGAAAACCTAATGAGACCTTTCATTGAAAAGTTCAACCAGTTCTGGTTGTTTCTTTTGTGATACCAAAATAGCATAAAGACACAGTCTCATACATCCATGTCCTCGAATTTAACAAACCCTAATTCCGAACTCTGAAAAGCTTCCGGCAGCAGCTCCGGCGAACATGGTTCTGATTTAACCGTTACGCTCCGGCTAACGGGCTTAGAGAGGTGTACATTACTTCTTCTTGATGCAGCATTTGCCGGATTCGACTGCACAGAGGGAGCAACAGAGCTTTCTCCATAAAATGGCCCGTTCCTTTTCCCACATAATTGGTTCGGTTTTTGCACAGTTTCATATTTGTTGTTCACAGTCTTGACCCGGTTTGCAGACACCATCTCATGAAGCAACTTTTCAACTGCAGCTTGGTGAGGGTTCTTTGAACGGGAGGAGTCTGAAGATTGAGCAGCCCGGCTGGAATGACCTGTCGAGCTCGGCCCTTCTTGTCCTATTCGTCTCACAGATGCAGCAGAAGAGTTTTGTGTCACAAAAGGCAGGCCTGAGCTTCCAGCATCTGACATGGAGCTGTTTTCGGACAGTTGACGGATATCTGCATGAAATCTCGGGCTAGGCTGGTCGTGGAATGATGGTAGATTTTGAGCACGTGTCTGATAAGGAGTGTTGGTGCCTCGAAAGAAGATATTGTTAAAGCACTCTGCAAAGGGGATGTTAAGAATTAGTGTGATGATGATAATTGGAAATAATTGACTCAGAGAATAGGAATCCCCGTATTATCATAAGTAGATATGTGTGAACAAAGATAGCTGATTTTTGAATGATACTTGTGTAAATTGCAGTTATTCTAATCCAGTCATTATTCAAGAAAACACCTGAGGAAACTAACTGTGGTGCCCACTAGTGAATTAAACACAGTTGCATGGACATGTAAAGCAATAGATATGGCCATATGGGACAATTTACAAGGAAATACCCATGCGGTTTGCAGTAGTTACAAAATGAAGCTACGTATACACAATAAAAGTCCCTTTTGTTTACAAATCTGAAGCGGTGTTTTTGTAATTTTGAAACCATTTTGATATTTTTTTATTTTTTTTTACACAACAAATTCTGTAATCATCCCCAACAGATGAAGCAAAGTTTTTTCTTGTTGCCCATGAGCTGAAACGCTCTTAGCACGCAACGTTTACGAGAGCATGCAAACGTTTGTTTTAAAATATCATAAATAAGAACACCCGTAAATATAAGTGAACTTGTATACTATCCAATATAATTAGGCATTAGTGCATACCTATTGGTCCAATTCCAGTCTCAAGACTCAGATTCATGACATCTTTCATGCTATCCATCACTTCAGCTATCTGCGGATGAAACAATTAAAAAGCATTATTAAACCAAGTAGATGTCTCACTCATCAATACGAAGTGCACAGTTTTCCTTTCCTTTTCCCTATTCTTTTTTTTTTATTTTACCTGCAAGCACCTAACAAATCGTTTGGGATATCCCAAGTCATCCACCAGTGGTGCTTCCGTATTTCTTACTAGTTGATTCCCTGCTGAAACGAATCTGCCCAACAGAAATTGTTCGAGAACGTTACACATCATTTAAGTCTAAACAATTATGGCCCAATGAGGCGTAATGTAGTTCAAAAACGCACCATGAAGTATCACACACACACACCTCGCATGGTACAACTAAAAGTTTTTCTAGCCACTAAAGGGAATCTATACAACTGAGTTTCTTCTCAATGCTTATCCTCTATGCATAACTATGCTAAGAGGTCCTCCTCTATCCGACTATACATAACTATAGTTTCCAGGTCCAGTAGAAATTATCAAGTCCAGAATAATTAATATGCATTTTATCTGATTTCAATATATAACACTATAAAGCAGCTCATACAACTTTATCATTTCCACCCAGCTGACAGATTCTGCGAACTTCTTTAGCCAAATTTTTAAACTTCAAGGACATTAAGACCGAAGAAATAATAATGCAGTTCTGAAAGGGCATTACAAGAGGGGAAAAAAAAAGAAAAAAAAAAAAAAAAAAAAAAAAAAAAAAAAAAAAAAAAAAAACTTACGTATCACAAAGTGTTTGCAAATTCGCTGATGAGACCCTAAAAGATGCATCTCTCTGGATGTCACGTTGAAATGCCTGGCATGCCTGCATCAATTGATTAACCTGCAAGTAAAATGGAAATAAGAAGAATTAATCAATTAATTTATAGATCAGGCTGTAACTATATATGATAAAGCGCCTGCTTTTCCATAAAGGAAGGGCAGCAAAGTGTAACTATGTACGATAAAGATGAACAAGTTGTATTCAGATGTAGTGAAGTATTGAACCATGCCACATAAAATAGTGACGACGAACAATATTATTTGATGCAGTATTCATAAAATTATTTTTAAGTGTACAATCATGGTTATATTATGGCAATCATGCAAATGTTTTTCATATGTATCTGTTGTCTACAAAAAGTAATCTACGATTTCTACTACTTTAAATACTTTAAGATATATTAGCTTATCTGATGAAAGAGACGCAGGCTTCAAAATGGCCTGAATGTGTTTCTCAAGGTAATAATAAAATAATAAAACAGAAAGAGCAAACTTACAATATGATGAATGTGCACCTAACCTATTTAACAAGGAAAGTAGCTAGATCAAGTCATAATACAAAATCCGGACTCACAAGCCCAAAGATGAGTTTTCAATACCTCGGGAGTTATCCATCTACGAAGCAGAAACTCCTCGTGTTTTTGTGCGCAAAATTCCCAAGATAATATCTGCGAAATTTCAAGCAAAACGCCAAAAGAGTAAAAACAACCAGTGGTATATAACAAACATAAGTTCTGTAAGTGTTTAAAACATGAAAACTTAATACCTTCAAGTCATATCTGAAGACAATCCGAAGTTTACCCTCATGAACGACACGCAACTTTTCATAAACGCTTTCCTGAATGGCTTTCCCATATTCCAGTACCAGAAAATTTGGATATTTGTATGCTCGAGGTGTATCCACAAATAAAATTTCATCAACCATTCCACTCTCGAACTTCGTCTTGAACAGTCTAGGAATTATGTCAAAAGTTGCCTCTACCAAATCACAAGCACACATTAAGTTATCACAACACAATTTTGATAACAAAGAGAAACGAGTGAAACTAAATTTATTTCTTGGCTATATGAGGTAGTGTGTTTGTGCATGTTAGAGACAGAGAGTATATGCGGTTTTTATCTGCTTACCGAGTTCCTTGCCTGATCGTAAACAACATATTTCACAGCACCCTGCTGCTTCCTGGAACATACAACAAGATTCCTTTCAAACAAAATTGTCAATGAACCTAATTAAGATAGGATGTACGAAGTGAAACGGACAAAATTAAATTAAAGCTGAAAGAAGGGAAAATTTAAAAAAACACATGCAAGAAAATGAAATTCAGTTCCGAAGTAAAGCGGTATTTTGATAGAAACTAACCATAGATTTTGTGTTGAAAACACCAGTTGCCTGCAGCTGTATATCTTCATAATTAGAGAAACACCACCTTTTCTTCGCGTTAGGAGCATAGTACTCTGATACAAACTTCTGCCAGTAGGAAATACTATTGTCCTGTGTATAAATACAAAATGTGAAGCAAACGTCGTTAAATTAATATCTCCAGAAATGTACTCACTGCTTGATTTTTTTATATCTTTCAAAGTAGATACACCATCAACTGAATTTAATGACGCAAGAAATAAACAAAATAATTTGAAACTCCTTTCAGACATAAGAAAACATAAACGGGATACAAGTACTTTTGAATAAGGGAAAAAAATAAAAATAAAACAACTAACATGAGTGTTGTTCCTCAGATGATATAGGTACTGCTTCAAACGCCTCGAACAAATACCACCCTCAAGAAAAGGCATAAAAGCCATTTGTAGATTAACCTGATCCTGTAAAGTAGTTCTCATGATCTGATTCGGTGGCGGCAAATTAAACCCCCTGAACTGGAGAGCTGAATGTAAAATCGGCTTTTGCAGCTCATTCTGAAGCCCATACTTCTCAGCCATTGATGTTATCAGTGTATTACGGGCCTGAAACTCGTTCCACAATATTTTATCAATAACCACCTGCTGCTGCTGGATGTTCTCTTGGTTATGTTCTACTCTTTTTTTCTTTGGGCTTGGTGTAAGAGGGCCGCGCTCCTTCTTTACTTTAGCAGAAGATGAAGCCCGACAATTAGGTTTCGTCTTGCATAGCTCTTTAGGACCTTTAGAATTTCCTGGCTGCTGCCTTTTTTTCTGCTTCTGTTTGTCTTGAAATAAATGAGGAAACATTTCATCATTTTGAGAAACATTCATAAAGCTGTTGCCAGAAAATGACATGGGAGTTGAAGGCAGGCTGGTGTAAGGCTCCATATTACGGATGCCATGACTCTCCAAATAAGCTGCAATAGCAGCATCAGTAGCCAAAGTGGGTCTTGAAATGGACGACCTTTCCATTAGAGTGGTATTCATAATATTTGGACCGAAATTCGGATTCAGTTCTGCCATGTGGAGAATTGGATTCATGCGTTCTTCGTCTCTGAGCAAGTTGCGCGAAACTAAAGCCTCCAAATTTGCTCCACTCCCACTAGCAGGTAAAAGTAGAGACCTTGGGTATTGACTGTTTGGATCACGGAAAGCCTCCAAAGGCATCACTTACGATTGAAGTAAAAACAGGGCAAGAAATACTAGATAGCTGTGAAGAAAGATAAAAAGGTAAGTTCTGTTGTTCTCATCAAATGATACCTTAAAGGTACAAAACAAAAAGGCAAAAAAAAAAAAAAGTACCATAACCACATTAATTTGTCTTACTGCAGATAGAGTTTCACGATTCCACAATTATCAGGTGAAAATTATTAGACAAAAAAGAGTTCAGAAATTAAAAGTAGGATCAACTTTGTGTACATGAAGCATAATATAGATTAATAGATTGTTTTACAGCTGGTTCATACAAGTGTTTTGCCACTAGGGCATGTAAATAAATCCCAAGAAGCGGACCATGTACTATAGAAAACTAACACACGAGAAGTATGCCCTCAAGGTTATTCAAGAACTAAGTATGTGAATACAATGCCGAATCAATAAAATTTATGGCATGTTAAAGAAAACTAACAACAGGAACAGAAAAGGATGTGCAGCCATCCAAGAAAGATAGTCATGGAATATAATGTGGTCGCACTAAATAAACGCATATAACGTAATTAAAAACATGAATGAAAAATTTAGTGTCACTGGTGCAGATTCAGTATAATAGACATAGAAAGGAGCAGAGATAACACTTAAATAGCCAGAACTTTAGGAAGCCCATAAGTCCAGAATTCCCAAAAGATCATAAACTCTTAATTAAGCTCGGAAAGAACCCGAAACCTGAAGAACCCGCAACGCGTTTTACACCATCCCAAACAAACGGCACCAGTTTATAAGGTCTACCAAGAGAAAAGCTACCTCGAAGGAAAAATCACATAGAACTGACATATGCCAAAAGCAGAATAACGTCTAACAATGGATAATAACACACAAGGAAAACCCATATCTTCAATTATTGGACATACATGCAAATGCTCTCAGACACACACACACACACACAGGGGCAAAATCCAATCAAATACAATAAGCCATTAAAACGAAAGAGATGCAGTTAAGCAAAACATGTTCACACATCAACCCAAGAAGATACACAAGAAGAAGACAGGAATCCCTTCCAAATTCCAAGAACAATAAACGAACCAACTTTTGCTCAAACTTTTCTTCTCAATTTTTCCCAACACAACACCACAAAATAAGAAACCCAAAGCAAGGCCCAAACCTGAAAACCAAACGCAGAAACCCAAGAACCAACACCATCAACTGCAACAAAAGGAACCAAGAAAGCAAGAAACACAAACGAAACGAGGTTCAACAAAAAAGCGAAAAAAAAAAGAAAAGAGAGAGACAGAAAAATTACAGTACTCACAGATATACACAAACCCTGAAAGTAGAAACATTCACGAGCGCTAGCTTATTACCTCAAAATTTGAAGCTTGTAGAAAATCCTTTCGCCATATCTCGAGCGCTCGATGGTACTCTGTGCGTGTGGGGTGTGACTGTGAGAATAGCAAACGCTTTCTTATTTTTTTCCTTCGCGGGAAGAGACACGGCGACCGGTTCCTGCCGGTCAGGTGGGCCACCTCCGACCTGCCACCGCCGGTTTTCCGCCACGCGTCGCACCAAATTTGCTACGGCCCGGCTGGGCGCTTGGCGATGTAAGTGTGAGTGTGGAGTGCGACAAAATTTGGTAACGCACGATTTTGTTTCACTAGCGGGGCCTGTACTGTACGGGACTGTGTGCCCAACTGACCCACTCCTTATATTTTTATCATTTTTTTTTTATTTTCCTTTTTAAAAATAGATTTTTTTTTATTTTTTTTTTGTTGGAAAATTTTTAATAATAGATTAGATTATATAAATAATCATTATGAGATTGGTAAATCTTTTTTTATTATTATTGAATTGACTCACAATTGTATGTGTGATTTACTCTGATTTTGTATTATAGGAATACAATTATGCAATTTGAAACTCCATTTATTAAATCTACTTTGGAGTTTGTTGATGATTTGTTTTTTTTTAGACAACTACGATATCCGGAGCTATACCCCGACTAATCTGTTGGTCGACCCGGGTCGCACACCTGACAGTGGTGGATGAGTCTCCCAACAAGGGTTTTCTGCATCCACAAGGACTCGAACCCGAGACATTGCTTAAGCGACATCAAGTTGCTTACCACTTGAACCAACCTATGTTGGTGTTTGTTGATGATTTATAATTATATGTAAAAGGCTTTTTTAAAATTTGATTTATTAAATCTCCTATTTGTCAAATATAATGCTGGCCTTGTAATTCTATTTTTCAATTCTTATTTTTAGTCGTTTGTAGTTTTATTTGTCAATTTTAGTAGTTGGAGTATTGCATATAGATCTGAACTTTTATCCATATATATTATGATTTTTAAATTATAAAGTGCTAAATTAAATTAAATTATAGATACCTTTACCATTTAACGATTTATTTGTCTGTTAGTATTTATTATATATGGTATATATAAAGTTTTATTTGACATCCATATGCGTATATTTGTATATAAAATAACTATATGTGCCTTTATAAAAACTTTGTTGATCACTTCTTGTTCGAAAATAATAACATTACTATTCATCAGTTAAACAAAATTATCATTGAAAAACATTATGTATGAGTTTGAAAATTTATTAAAATGAGGATGAGCAAGTCATATGGGTGATGAGTATAATTTAAAAAAAAAAATAATAGTGCAATTTTAGAAAAAGTAAAATATTAAAAACTTTAAAAAGATATTTTTTAGAATGAATTTATGAATTGACATCCGTACATGACACTAATGTCGGGATATTTCACAATTGCTATAACCCAATTCATCTCAACCTAACAAGTAAAATATTATTTATCTCTCCTTCATCTACACAACTCATCTTTACAACTCAAAATATTTATCCTCAATCCAACTTAACTTAAATATTTATTATTTTTTAATTTATTTGAAAAGTACATTTGTATTCTAACACAAGTAAAGTGTTCGTTATTTGTAGAGAATAGAAAAATATAAATATTAGTATTTTTTTAAAATAAATAATACATTTGTTCAATAAAAATAGGACAAGCGTTCTAATGTCACAAAGAAAACCTAGGTCTGGCTCATTTTATTTTTTATTTTTGTCTTTATCCCATGATCCATTATGGATAAAAGTGGTCTAACTATCAAACTGAAATAATATTCCACTGACTTTCGTCTAATATTTTATTATTTAATAAAGGGTGTTGAATAATGTTGTTTATGTGTGTGTAGACATCGAAATTTTAACATTTTATTAATTAATGTCTTTATTTATTTTTGGACATAAATCTATGATAAATAAGATATTATATTTATAGAGTAACTATTTCTTGCCCACCAAGTCAAATCGTAGGATAAGGAAAGAGATTATATCAAATCTTACGGAAAGAGATTATATCAAATTATAAAAAGACCAATCAAATTGATGTCTTATTATCCAAAACTCTTTTTCCTACACGTATAAATAGGGCTCTCCTCAATGCCACAAACACACCTAGAAAAATATCAAACACATCTCATAAATCAAAGTTTCAACCTCTCGAAGATTTGAAGTTCTTCAAGAACCGTCTGATGTTCGTTCAATGAAGAAGAACGCCAAGAAAAATGTTCGTTCAATGAAGAAGAACGCCAAGAAAAAGTTCGTTCAACTCCTCTCAAATCAATCCAAGAATATCAACGATGTTTAAGCGACATTCAAGTCGCTTTCGTTGAGAAGTTCAACCAACATAGCGTTTGATCTGGGAAAAAGCTATCAAGCTCTCGAGTCAACGTTATTCAAATCAAAGTCCATCTTTCCAGAAGATCAAATAAACAAGTTTTTCAAGAAGTTTTTTTTTTCAATCAAGTCAATGCTTAACATTTAATACGGGAATAAGTCATTCGACCTCCAAATTAATGTTGGAGAAAAATACGGGAATAAAATTCGACCCCCAAATTAATATAAGAGAAATTCTAGACCAAGCTCGAAGGAGATTCAATCGTCAAATCCATTTTTCAATGTCTCAATCCTCAATCCAAGAAAAGAAGAATCAGAGAAGACATATAGAGATTGTACAAATTTGTTGTTATAGTGTGTGAGCCAATTTTTTTCTTTTCAATTTTTTTTTTTCAGATAATTTGATCATTATTATTGCTGTTTGAGGATGGTTGTGATCGAGGGGTGAATGGTTTATACTTTATAACTGTAAAATTTGTCTGTTAGTCTTGTTTCGATGTTAATCAGAAACTAGTATGGTACCCGTGCGCAGCACGGCGGGTTATTTCCTCAAACCTTTTTTTTAACTTTATTTTAAATATTTTTTATAAATTAATAATTTAATTACAATAGAAAGAGGATAGAGGAATACAAAATATAAACAAAAATCATATACTATTAAACACTTCTCTATACACAACATTATTGGTTTGATTTTCTTTCAAACCTTCTTCTCCACAAATTAAAATTTCCAGACTCTTTCTGTTAGTAACACGGGAGACAACGACATATAACTGACCATGACTAAAAACTGGTTTCTTCAAGAATAAGCCAACATGCGATAATGATTGATCTTGACTCTTGTTTATAGTCATTGCGTACGAAACCATAATGGAGAAGTGCCTTCTTTGAAATTTGAATGGTACTCTAACATCAGAAGGAGCTATTGTCATCCGAGGTATCAAAACTTTATCACATGCATGATCGCCAGTAAGAATTTTACACTCGAGAACATGATTGGAGAGTTTAATCACAACCAATCGTGTACCATTGCAGAGTCCCATTGAGTGATCCATATTCCGCAACAACATAACTGGAGTTCCGACCTTCAAATTCAATTCATGGTTCGGCGTTCCATAACACTTGATAGTGTTCAAGAACTAGGAGTATGGAGTTGTGCCACAAAGTCGGTATTGGAGTCGGATTTACACGTACTGTATGAACTTAAATACATGCGTCCCTCAGTCAAATTTAACGACGACGTGCAGGTGCGGCCTCCCTCCGCGATTATCGGCTTCCTCGTCTGTCTGCTCTCTGTTCGCGTATCTG